GCCAACTTCAAGCTCCCCACATGTGCCTTGTTCCCTGTCCTTGCTATGCCTTCCTTCAGCTTGTGCCCTCTACCTGTCCCCACCCTGCCTTCTTTGCCTGACAAAGTCCTACTCATTTTGCGAGGCTTGCCTCGAACATTTTCTCCTTGGAACACCCTTCCCTGGTCTCTCCTCCTGCGCCCAACTGTACCCAACTTCCACGTTCCCATGGTGCTCCACGCCAACCTCTATCACTGTCCGTCCCCTCGCCACCTGCTGCCGTGCCTGTCACCTCTGTCCTTCCAATGAGACTGAGTACTACCTGAGGGTAAGGAGGCGTGTCTCCTCATCTCTCTGCCTCCAGGTTGGGACACCACATCCAGCAGTAAGTGCGTCACTCGGAAAACGTTTTTTGAAACGGAACTGAGTCTTGCTCCATTGGAAACCTCCCAGGCAGCCAGCAACCACTCGAATGACCAATCACTGGGAGTCAAACTGGTCCCTCTGGGGACACTGAATGTGGAAACCAAAGCAAATCACTACTGTCTAAAAGGCAAAGGAAGACGCTTCATCAGAAGTGAGACACTGGATAGGGTTGGACGCAAGGGGTTACTATTCAAAGCACCCCATCAGAACGGCTCGTTGTGTTGGAAAAAGACAGAAAGACATGACTGTGAACCAGACACTTGATGGAAAGTCTCAGCTGTGTCTCGGGCCCTGGGCAACCACTTCTAGAATTAGCACTGTGGACCGAGGTCCGAATGAACGAGATGAGGTCCTAAGATGGGGTCAGGCTTTTCCAGGCAACAATGCAGGCTAGAGAATTATCTGGAAAAAATTACCTGCTCTCTTCCCATCATCAGCTCAGAACCTTGAGTATTTTGCCAGAGGCAGGGCTGCGCATAAATGCAAGATGTCACAGTGAAAGACCTTTACAAGTCAAATGGGATCACTGGCTGGTGGCTTAAAAAAAAAACTTCCCAATTGCCTTGAACAATTTAAATAATCTGCACTTTGAGAAACAGACATTCAGCAACAACTGCAGGTATATGTATATATCATGAGGATCATGTGAAAACAGTGTCAAACGCTTAGCTGGTGTCTGCTGCGGTCACCATCATCTCTGGCTGAGACGGGGATTTCAGCAAAAGGAATCGGGGCAGCTCGCTGGAGTTGGGGTGGGAGGGGGTACAGTCAGCAGGAAATGCACAGCCTTTGAAGTAGACACACTGGATTCAAGCCTTGGTTTGGTCACTCACAAGCTGTGTGGCCTTGATCAGCTTGCTCAATGTCTCTGAAGCTCAAGCTTATCTCTAAAATGGAGATGATGTTATTACTGCTGCTGCCCGACAGAACTGTTTTGAGGCAAAGGTATCAGATATTCACAGTGACCAGCACAACTCAGGAATACTGTCTTCCTCATTCTCATCTCTCCTGAGACCCGGTTTTTGGCTTCCTTGGGCTCCATGAGGGTGGTCTCAGCTAGCATCATCGGATTTGGGAAGGTTTTGATCTCTTAGGTGACCCGAGAGGGGCAGGATGCAGGGGAGGGGAGGGCGCTGTGAGCGGCAGGGCTATTTACACTTTTGTGCAGTAAAACGAAGCACTCTAATTAGTGACATCACAAAAACAACCTCAGGAATGAGCTCTGAAAAATAACGCACGAGCCGACAGTCTTGTCTGGTAACCTCCATTTCAGCTCAGGCCGGGGAATTTCCAAACTGCATCCAATTAGGCCTCCTGGCCAACTGGTTTCTATGACTCTGCCACAACAAGAAGGGAAAATTGATTTTGCTTTAAGAGTGAGGAGAGCAGCCTGCCAGTTTATACCGTTTCCTTCCCACTTACGACGTCTCTGCCTTGCCATGCGGTTCCTCTGGACTTCTGTTTTCACAGCTAAAAAATAAGGTTTGAGAGGAGGAAAAAATTGATCCATAAAGTATTGATTGAGAGCCTTCGGGGTATCAGGGACCGGGCTGGACACCAAGGAAATGTTCCTTTTTGATTTTTAGAATTCCACTAATGACAAATACCCACTAATGTGCACTTCTGTCCATTTAGAGGAAAAGGCAAAGTGGAAAGGTAGCTGACACGCATGCTGACATCTGTGGGCCTTCTTCAACTACCCGAACGCCTTCGGAATCACAGCTTTTATTTGAAGGGAAGGGCTGGTCTGCGATATTTATTTAGAATATTTATATCCTGCTCTATTAAAATAAAGACGGTAAGGTGGCTTGTAGGGATACACTTAATGAAGCAGGATTTAATAAATAGCAGGCATTTCATACTAAAAGCTTAGTACACTTCAGGACATATTCTAAGTGCTTTCCATAGGTTAACTCATGCAATGCTCACAACCCGAGTCACAGAGAGGTGAACTCACGTGTCCACAAAAATGGAAGCCGACACCAGCGGTGCCCCTCCCAGCATTGTCCCAGGCAGAGGGAGTTTCTGCCAGCAGATTTTAGGCCGTGCAGACTGCACTGCAAGCCCCTCCCCGCTGTGAGATGGAACATCCATCTTAGCCTGGTGCCCTCAATGTGGAACTCATCTAATGGTGCCTGGGTCTCGAATACACAGCATCCTTGTAACTAGAATCTAACTTCCTGGACGCTCTGCCAGATTTTCCATGAAGGCCAAGGATGGGAGTCTTTTGCTCATTAGCATATACTCAGCACCTAACAGTGATTAGCATATTTACTGAATGAAAGGAATGCACTGATTGCACACATGTGCACAAACATACACACACACACAAACTGCAGTGTTTCAGTTCCTGTGGCAATAATAGCAGGAGGCATTTTACTTGTTCCTTATTTCATTTTTTTGATGTTTTACTTTTCTTCCCAATAAGCCTACTCTTCGTTCCTACGGTCACAGCAGCCTGATTTTGCTTTAACGGTCCCGTCCCTTAACCTTACTTTGAGCCACGCTACTACTATGTCTCCAGAAAGGGAAAAGCAGAGCTCTTTGAGAAGTCCCGGGAAGCTCCACTGCCATGAACCCTTGTAAGGAATCTCCTCCCAGGGCCAGCTTTCTCAAACGAAAACATTTACTGCTAGCTCCTATTTTGAGAAATGTTCTTGACAAGCTCTTCCGACTCTCTTCACCGCTCATCGAGCACACAATGGGTGCCTCTTGCAGTGCTAGATCAATCCTGAATTACCTATTCAATTAAAGGAGGTTAATGCACTAAATACGCCGCCAGATGATAAAGAACAATTACTGCCTGTGCTGTGCTTTTAAGATTTGAAGCGCAGAAGCTAAAGGAGCTTCTTTGTCTTAAAATGAATGGAACCAGAAGCTGCTGTTTCAACCGCACATCCCAGGGCTGCAGCAAGGCACACGCGTACGCTGGAGCTCAGCCGCGTGGGTGTGCACGCAGCCCTCCCCGACACATGCGTTTCCTAGCTGGGTATCCTGGGGAAGCCGCTTAGCTTAGCCTCTCAACGTTCCATTTCCCCATCTGTAGAATGGACATAGTGCCTCCCTTCCTCAGGGTGTCCTGACACTGGAATTGGTTAACATTCCTGAAGCACTTAGTACAAGGGCCTGGCACACGGTACGGGCCACACAGAGGGTCAGCCACTTTTATCAGTGACACCTACTCATCGTGAGGGTTGGGGGGGGCTGACGAACTGCAGAGAGAGTTTCTGGACCGCCTGTGTGCTGAGGCCACATTTCCGCAGTGAAAAAGCTGAGCTTAGGTTCAGCCAGGAAGAATTTCATCTTAGTCAACTATTTACTATGAATGAGTTTTTCACCCATTCGTTCAGCCAGGCAGTCATCTAACGTCTCCCAGGTACTCAGCACCTACTGTGTCTGTGCCACGAGAGAGATGGGGACCTCGGGTAAAAGAGCCACTGTCCTCAAGGAGCTCTCGTCTGATGGGGAGACATTCACAGCAACAGACCATGTGCACACAGCGTGAACAGCGCAAAACGGAGGAAGCCTCCGTGAATGAGAGTCCCGAAGAAACGTCTGGAACAGGGGCGGCAAACGCTTTTGGTAAAGGGCCAGACAGTAGATATTTTAGGCTTTGAGAATTCACAGGCTCTGTCGCAGACTCAGCTCCAGCACTGCAGAATAAGGCAGCATGGATGACACGTAAGCACCTCCCTTGGTCCAGAGCCCTCCCTGAGCCTAGCACACCCCTTTCACCCCGGCCCCTGGCTAACTCTGACTCAGCCATCAGGTCTCAGCTCCAGCGTTGCCTCTTCTGACTTTAATACGCTCTCACACATCTGCAGTCCTCGCTGCTCTGAATGGCCCTCTCGCTCTCTAACTGCACGTGCATTATGGCAACCACTTGTTCAGTGACTAACTCTTGCCTCTCATGAAAGTTCCAGAGTTCCATGAGAACAGGAACCGCCTTCCCTCTCCACTGTCACCTGTCACCTAGCACAGCACTGCCACATTCAGCAAGTCTGTGTTGAATGGAGGCCCGAATCTGTGCTGCCCCCTTCTCCTGGCAGCCCCGGGGTATTCTCAGGGGCTGCTTGGGCCTAGGTGGAGATCAGACGATCCTTTAAAAGACAGAGTTGGTCAGAGCAAAGGGGCCCTCAAGAGAGTGAGAGGGGTTAATAGAAGCAGAGAGGCAAACCGGGTGTAACGAGGAGGGGAGAGCCCAGAATCCACTGAGCTTATAAACCAGGGGAAAGGGTCCCAAAGACAGCGGATGCCTCAGCTGGAAACTGGGTAGGGACTGGCAGGTCCACTGTGAACTGCCTGCTCCCGAGGCCTCGCAGGCCCGGTGGCTGCCTGGATGTCCCCTGATGCCACTGAGCAGGTAAGAATGAGGACAGCCCGGAGGCCCCGGGAGCCAGCCCAAAAGGCAAATCCTGAAGCTGCTCGGAAAGGTCAACAGTAAACTCTTCATCACCCAGCAGCCTCGAGCTGAGTCTGTTGTGTGTCCATAAGGCCACGGCTCTGCACGTGCCCCCACGTGGGGGTGAGGAGGCCGTGCCAGGCAGAGCTGGGCCAGCAGTGAGCGAATCCACTGCCGGAGCCCTGGGCTTCAGAGAGCTGCGCTGAGCCCAGCGTGAATGTGCGAGTGGCAGCCCTGTGCCGGGAGAGGAGTGCCCCAAAGAGGCTCCGAGGCCAGCCCTGTTCACTGACGGTTTCAGTGAGAAACAAGGGCCGGCAGCCAAAGCACCTGTGTGGGCATCCTCCCACAAGGGGAAGGCAGAGGGAGACAAACGTCCCAGAGCCCTCGGGTCCTGGGGCCGGCAGGGAGGGGGCCAGGGAGACATGGAAGGAAGGGGATGAGCTAACCAGCAGTGCAGGGGTACGGAGACGTCGCCCGAACTGCCAGCCCCATCCTTCCCCTCAGTTCCTTTGCCAGTCTACTTCAGACATGTGGCCAAGGCTCAGCTCAGGGACAGCTGTCCTCCACGAAGGGCCGGCAGAGGCACCCACTTCTGCACTGCCACCGCCAGGGGCTGTTCCATCTTCATACCTGACCCATCACATCACAACGGCCTGAAAATGTGACGCTCTCCCTACAAGACTGGGGACAGCGCGGCAGGGCCCGGGCCGCATCCACCCCATGCCTCACACAGAGTGCAGAACTGGCCCGTGCCGGTACTCGGAGGCTAAAGAGAACAAATGAATGAGTGAATAAATGGAGAGAGAGCAGGAAAGGAAGAAAAGAGAAAGGAAGACTAGCAGGGAGGGAGGAAGAAATATATCACATTCGTTTTGGCTACGGTGAAACAATACAGGACTCCAGTAACATATTACAAAAAATTAGCAAGTTTTTAAGGACAAGCTGTCTGTCTGTCTGTCTGTGTCCCATTCTAAGCTGGCACACAAACGGTCTTTCAGAATCTCAGGCCTAATACCTTCCTTCCATATACTCAGAGATGCCATCCTAGCCTAACCCTCAAGTTCACACACAAGGGAAGCGAAGCCCAGAGAAGTAAAGAGCACAGTCAAGGTCACCAAGGCAGAAAGCACCTTGGGGTGATGGCCAGGTCACCACAGGCCAGGGGCCAGCAACACCAGAGGGCTTCCAGGCACAAGGGCAGCTCAGAGAGGCCCCCTCAGCCATCCTGAATCCTGAGCCAGGACAGCACCTGAGCAGTCGGGGATGTGAACGCCTGTCTGAGCAACGCAAGCATCTTCCTGAAATGGCATCTGGCAAGGAGGCGAGCAGCCAGGTGCCTACTCCCCACTCTGCCAGGCAGCGGCACACCTCACACTCGGAGATGTCACGCGTAGTGCTGATGCCAAGCTGTCACGTCTCCTTGTACTAAAAACGGTAGTTTGTTCCTTCCCCTCTCTCCGAATAGCAACGTCTGTCTGGGAGCTCCTCAGCCCACTGCCTCCTGTTGACAGCCTGACACCCAGGTCCAGGCCGGAGGTGTGGCCCTCACCCGTGCCAGCACCACTCATGCTGGCTTGAGCAGAGCATGGTGGCACTCTTGGGCAGTTCCCAGAAAACAACTTCAAGCCCTCTGCAAAATCAACCTCGAGAGATGGCTGCCTCTCAACAGAAAACTCCTGGGGTGGCGTACGGACCTCAGTGAGTGCCATGGACCCCTCTCTCACCTGAGGCTAGCAGCCGCCCCACGAGCGGGGCAGATCTGAAACCCAGTGCCAGAGGCGATGACATGAGTGCCCTCACCATGTGGTGGCCGGTTCCATGCAGGAAGCCCCAGGATCAGGTGACAGGAGCAACCTGAGCTCCCTCCACTATTCCAGCCGGGGCCTCAGGGGAGCAAAGTAAGAGAAACCCACAGCTGAGGACCCAGACGGTGCTCCCGGACGCAGCCGCGAGGAAGAACTGTGCTCATGGAGGCCGGGTATGTGTCTAAGCTCGTGTTCTCTAACCTGCGTTCTGAAACAGCTGTGTCACAGGAGAGGCCTACAGGTACCCGTAAAAATGGAAGGACAAAGCCACACCCAGGTCTCTCCGGCAGGTTCCCAGAGCCTCTGCCAGGCTTCCTGCAGCAACAGTTTCCAAGAGGTGACGCGAGAAGGGCAGCTCCCTAATTTACTTCGTCAAGTAACTTACTTGACCGTCTCCTTGCTGGTCCTCAGTTTAATATATGGGATCTTTCCCTAAGCTAGAGAGAGTTCAGAATTTTAAGACACAGATGTAAGGCAGAACGCTTTCCTGCAAAGTCCCTTTGTTCTTGATACTGGGTGACACCAGGTGAGTCACACCAGGTGTTATCTGAGCTGATCCCTCATAGCAGAGAGGCCGGCGTGGGTGTGCTCTCTAACAGCCGCACAACTGCGAAAGTCCAAGCGCAGATCCGGTTCCTCTGACCCACCCTGGGCCCGAGGAAGGGCCGATGGGTCCCAAGTCACGCTCTGAAGAGAACCTGGTTGCAGCCTCTCCCCCTTAAAGGGACTGCCCCCCCGCCATCTGCTTCTTATACCTAAGAGGATTGACAGCACACACTGAGGGATGGCTCCTTCTCTTGGGGACCACAAGGGGCTGACTTTATTCTCCAACAGCGATGTCACAAAGCGACAGCAAGGAGGAATGTCCCCTGGCACAATGGCAATGTGAAGCTTGGAGAACATCCTGTGCCAGCTCTCCCTTCCAGGTTAATGCCACTGTTCTCATGGGACCAGAGCAAATGGAGCCCCCTACCCCCTGCCCCCTGCTTTCTTGGGTCAGGGCAGCAGGTTCTGTGATACAGACACAGGCAGCAAAGTCACCGGGTGAAGGGCCAAGAAAGCACCCTACACTCCAAGGGGCTGTTCAAGGTCCCCAGCACTTGGCAGGACTGGCTCCATGGGGGTCATCCCAAGGCTTGGCGTGGGGGGCACTTCTGGGCAGACTGCTCTAGCTCTGAGATGGGGCACGAAAGGAAGAAGGGACAAGAGCAGCAACGGTGCCCCTCCTGTCCCCGCTCCTACCTACCGCCTCCCGCCACCAAACACCCTGCCCACAGTTCTCAGGGGACGGGCTGTTCCAGCACCAGCACTCCGACCTTAGGGCTCACTGACCCCCTACTCCCTACTTTGGGCCAACAGAGAAACAAAAACAGTTCCTGAGAGTTCATTACGTTGCAGACGCTTGCTTAACACTTGATATTATCTTATGAAGTTGTTTCTCTTATCATCCCCATTTTACAGAGAGGGAAACCGAGGCCTGGAGAGGTCAAGGAAGCTGCCCAAGGCCACAGAGGAGAAGTCAGCGGGATAGGACTTGAAACCAAGTGTTTGACTCCAGGGCCCACACTCTTGCTGCTCAAGGATCTCAAAGGACGTGAGCTAACCGGCGCCTGGTAAACTCGTCCACCACCCTTGGCCTAGGGGAGGACGTCAGGAGGTGTTAAAAAGGATGCCAACGTGAGGACCTCAAAAGCGGGGAGTGGGCAGCGACTCTGGCCGGTGAGTCAAGCAGAGGAGACAAACATCAGTGATGAGGATGGCCACAGCTGGAATAAGAGTCCAGTGGGGGTGGGGTTGCTAAATTTCAGTCCTGGGATCTAGAAACGTTTCTACGCAAAGACCAGAAAGTTGAACAGGCCCTTTGATCTCTACAATTCTCATTATCTTCCTATTAGAAGACATTAAAGGGCATATTCCAATTAGTGGACATTAAAGCAGAGAAGGAGGCTCATTATGTAGACTATTATTTCCCCTCAAGACACCTCTCCCTTTTTTTTTAAACTGATAAAAGCTGCCCAGAATTGTGGCTAACCAAGATGTGACAACTGTAATTAGCCGTGGCGGGAGCAGACCTCCGCAGTGGTCCTAAAGGAGCGGGGTGAACACGCTTTGAAGAGCATGGTCGGTCCTGCCCGCTTGGCGCCTCCTCCCCTCAACCACCTCAGCCCATTCCACGGTGTCCTCGTCCACCGCCACAGAACCTGCCCCCACCCACACCCTTGCCCCAGGACACGGCCCCAAGTCTGGCCAATCCTACCACCCCGCGCCCTGTGTTCAGGGGCTGGCCAGGTCCATCCAAGGGGAGCGCCCCCAACGCCCTTCCCTAAGAGTAATGTGCAGTCACGACACTGGAGGGAGTTCCCTGCCCACAGGCCTTGCCCACTTGGAAGAACGCAGATCACGCAGGAAGCGCGAGGAGAGAGCCGCAGGGCGCCGAGGAGGCGGTGAGGCCGGGTTCCAGGCATGAAAGGGTCGGGCTCCGGCCCCCACTCCGCCCTGTGAACTTCCGGGGTACTCCTCCAGCTGCGGAGGCTAAGAGCTCTCTGGCCCACCTTGGTTTATTTTCTTTACACTTAAACTAACCAAGTTCCGGTCATTGGCAAGTGAAGGATCCACACTAAGACTGCCCTGTACTCGACTTCATAGTTAAGAGAGGGGCCGACCCTGGGCCTCTGACTGGTGAGCTGCAGCCGTGAGAACGCAACGCTGCTTCCGATGCGTGTTATTTCATGGCTGGCTCCTGCTTCGAGCCGGTCCCTCCACTCGGGTGCCCTGCCCACCTGTCGCTGCCTGATCTCCCTGCCACCAGCCCACGCGTATCTTCTCCAAAGGTGTGTTTTGACTGAACACCCCTCCCACCCCCACCCAGCCTGAGCTAAGTGCCCAAACCCTGGACTTCTGTAGTCTGGGTTTCACCCCTCACTCACCACAGGGCATTACAATGACAGCATTTACCTAAAAAATGCATCTCTCTCCTCCCCCAGACCATAAGGTTCCCTGAGGACAAGGGTCAGGCTCAGAAGACAAAGACGAACAAAGAGCTGTAAGTAACACAACCCTATCTGTTGAACTTGTGAATGGGGAGGAGATTCCCTCAGCTGTCAATAAGCCCATGGACTCACTCCCATGCTGGCGACCAATGAGGAAAGGCCTTCCGTAAGCCCCCTCTGACGCAGCCTCTCCCGGAAGATGCCCCAGGCCCCTCCACGGCAGCACCCAGTCTGCTCGCGGCCCAGCACTAACTGCTGAATCAAACCACGGGGCTTGCTGACGCGTTTATTAAGCCTCTGCCCTAGAAGGTTTGCTTCCTGTGACAGGGATCTCCCCCATTAGGCTCATTCGTATATCCCCAGGGCATAGAATAAAGTCTGGCAGAGAAGGTGTTCAATAAATATTTTGTTGGCGGGCTCCTTGGTTGGTTGAAATGAATGAATGAATGAACGAACAAACCACCCAACTTCCAGAAAGGAGCTTGTGAGCTCTCCCTACGCTGTGAGTATTACCTGATCTCAGGTTCTAGCTAAGGTTTAGGTAACAGCTCAGAAGACACTGGGGGCAAGAGCACCATCCCTTTATTCTCAACACTCTGAAGCGGAAAATGTTTACTTCGTTATTTCTTTGTTCGACTCAGGGAGAAAACAAGATGGTACTTTATATAACACAGATGCACCCATTTTCTAAAACTTCTTGCAAAAGGTCAAATTTTTTTAAGGGGAATGAGTATTTCACTTTCTGACATGTTCCATCAAAGCTGAGTTTTTTCGTTACACCACAGAGCTGGAGAGCATCATTCATATGCTGTGGATCAATAATGGCAACGCAAGAAGAGAAGACTCCAGCCCTCAAGAACGAAACAGCAAGAAGAATTTAACACTCTCCTCCTCCCCAGCCCCCAAGGCTCAGGGAGCTGGGGTGATGTCTCAGGGTCTGCACTGACATGAACTTGCATCGGGGGCCTGGCCATTCCTCCAGCACCCCCTTCTCCCAGCCATCCTCCAGTCTGCTGTCATCTCTGGGCCTGGGAGCACGCTGGACCCTCTGCCTCTCCCACCCAGCTGGCTCATCCCAACTCAGCATTAAAGACTGGATCCGGCATCACTTCCTCCTGGAGGCTTCTATGACCTCCCGCCACCACTTGCAAACAGAGTGAGGTGTCTCTCCTTATTCTCCCACAGCAGCTTCTGTAGGGCTCACTGATCACACTGGTAAGAATAATGAGAATGATAGAAGTAATAATAATAGCGGCCATCACGTACTTAGTAGGAACCAGGTACAGTCTGGCACTATATGAAGTGCATACATATAATCTCATCTTATTAATTTCAGTTAATCCTCATAACCCCTCTGTGAGCTTTGCACAAATGAATAAACTGAGGCTCAGAGGTGTTACAGAACTTGCCCAAGGTCACAGATCTCTCAGGGCAGAGCGGAGATGCAAACTCAGGAATGACCCGATTCCAAAGTCGGTGTGTCTGACTTCAAGTCATTGCCGATCAGGTCTCCCGTTCCTTGCAGCTGGCAGCACACCGAATTATGTGAGTGCCCCTTGAGGCCGGGTACTTCCCAGTCCTTGTCCTAAAGTTCACAGCGACCCTGCAAGCTGGGTGATGCTGCCCCCACTGTGCAGCTGGAGAACGTAAGGCGCGGGCAGTTTAATAAGTTGCCTGTGGTCACAGAGCAAGAAAACAGCAGGGTCAGGTTGGAACTTGCACCCATCTACTGCACAAGTCTACGCCCTTTCTACTATACCACACTGCCGCCCCTCCTCCACATGGACCTATTTGGAAAAAGAATCTGAAGTATAGAATAAGGCCTGAAAGATAACGTGGTTCTCTGCAATTCCTTAGGATAGTGAGAAATTGGAAAAAACCTAAATGTTGAACAACGGGGATTGTTAAATTAATCAAACAAGGAGGTCATTAGACCTAGGGCGTTCCACTGCCTTGGATAACCTAGAAAAGCAAACTACAACCTAAGCCAGATTCAATCCGTGGAAATGCCTCAAGGTTGAGAACAATCCATCACAAACAGCCAACCAGCCTTTCCCAAATAATGCAACTGCTTAAGCTACAGCCAGTCAAATCATTTCCTTGCTTTGTGTCCGTGTCTTCTCTATAAAAACTTTGCCCCTAGCTATTGTCAGTGGAGGGCTCCTAACCAGTTCTGTTTGGCATGACCCAATTCGAATCAATGTTTGCTCAAATAAACTTAAAATTTTAATATGTCTCTGTTTATCTCTTAACAGAACGATCAAAGAAATTTTATCACTATGGAAAAATATTACATAGCTGTGAAAGACGATTTTGACATAAAGTGTAGAGTAACACAGGAGAAAAATTATGTTAAATTAAAAAGAAAGACACAAAAGCTCATATATGGAATGATTCCATCTAGAGAAAAAACGCAGAGAAAAGACTAGAAGGAGATGTTAATTGCAATTGTATCTATGTAGTGGGACCATGATTCATTTGTTTTCCTTCTAACTTTCCTTTATTTTCCAAATTTTCTATAATGAGCATGTACTACTTTTAGTATTTTTGAAGTTTTTTTTTTTTTTTTTTTTTTTTAAAGAAACTGGCTATTATCAACAAGGGCTGACTTGTAGCTTATTTTAATCCTTGCAATGGACGCCATTCTGAATTCTGATTAAGGGTAATTCAAGCTTTTCAAATGTCCAAATTGTCTCTGTTCATTTTTTGAGGCGAATAATTGCATTTTATACTAAACTTATTTGCGGCTCAAATACGGCTCAAAACCTTGTTTTGATTACTTGTTTAGGGAAAGAGTCACACTCGAAAATGCATAAGAATCACATTTGCATGATGGGTGATGAGGCAGGGAATTACAGTTGGGAGAAAAAAAGGAATGAAAAAAAAAAACCGTGAATAATCAACGGCATGCACTGAATCTGAAGCCGCTGCCGCCTTCACGTCCATCCCATCCCGCATCCTTAAAGGCAAAGGCGCATCTGGTCCGTGGGGCTGCTGCAGGGAGCTGTACTTGACATAACTGCCAAATGGGAGGCCATTTCATCGGATTATCTTCAGCCACTGTTCTGGGAGTTTGTCCTCAGGACGGTTCTCCTTTCTCCCACTGAGACAGCAGGCTGCTTTCTGATCCTCCCCAGTCTCAACATCATTTTCAGAGAGACACATTGGGCTCTGCGTCAACAGAAGCCAGCATAGAGAACCCTGAGGCTTGAGGTCAGCAAGACACCACGGAGGACACGGCACTTGCACCCTCCTCCTGGGTTTGGACTTTCCTGATCACAGACGCGGGTCCTCGGCAGATTCATTAACGTGGAGCGGCTCCAAGGACGGTCTCTGCTTTGGGTCACTATCTTTTGATTAGCCACCAGCTATCAAGTGAACAGAGCGTTACAGAGTCAAGAGCAATCCCTGTAGCCAAAATATAATTGTCCTTTTATTTATCATTTTCTTGTTTGTTTCCCCCATTATTATTTGTCACAGAGAAATACCCAGTTTTGAAGTAAAGATAGAAAATAGGTAAGGAAAATAAAAACATATAAAATTTTGGAGCCAGCCCCGAGGCCTAGCAGTTAAGTCCAGCACGCTCCAATTCAACAACACAGGTTCAGCTCCCAGGCGCAGACCTACACCACTGATCAGCAGCCAGGCTGTGACGGAGACCCACGTACAAAATAGAGGGAGACTGGTACAGATGTTAGCTTAGGTCAGATCTTCCTCAAGCAAAAAGAGGAAGACTGGCAATAGAGATTAGCTCAGGGCAAATCTTCCTCAGCAAAAAACAAAAACCAACAAAGAAAACCCATACAAAAATCTCCTCATCTCACCATCCAGAGAAAACCATTTTTGGTTCATATCAGAGGCTGCAAAACTGGCAGTCCATTCAGGTTAAAAATTTTAATAACTTGCCAACATACAAAAGTAGGAGATTTTAACATGTAAATCCAGATTTCCATTTAAAATAAAAAGCCTTAAAGATTGGGGGACACACAGCCCCAATTCCTGCATAGTGACAATTGGTCAGTGCTGAGAAGTAGCTGATCTGAGTCACTTCCTGCCTGGACTCTGCAGACATCTGGGTTTGCTAGCTGGTTTAGACCTTTCCACTTTATTTTCCTATGCTAAGGTACACATTTTACAATTTTGTGGCTATTTTTTTAAATGGGACTAAACTATATATTCTATTTAGCTACCTATTTTTACCATATATAAGAAATAACCATCTGAGCTGACTTATTAGATCTACATTTCCTTTTTTTTTTCATTTTTCTTTGTTTTTTGAGGAAGAGTAGCCCTGAGCTAACATCTGCTGCCAACCCCCCTCTTTTTCCTGAGGAAGACTGGCCCTGAGCTAGCATCCATGTCCATCTTCCTCTACTTTATATGTGGGACGCCTACCACAGCATGGCTTGCCAAGCGGTGCCACGTCCACACCCTGGAACCAAACCGGTAAACCCTGGGCACCAAAGTAGAACATGCAAACTTAACTGCTGTGCCACTGGGCCGGCCCCTACATTACCATTTTTAATGGCTACATGTTACTAATCTATCCTTTCTGATATTTCCATGATGAGCAAGCATTACTTTTTGAGGCATACTGTGTTACTACACTAGCAGATATTCCAGCTCCACTCTCCTCAGGGCCCCTCCCTGGGAGAGGATTATTCTTCCTGGTCTGTTACCATCAGGCTTCTTGTGGAAGTGAAACATGTCACTTCTGAGCAGAAGCTTTCAGAACCAACCATGGTCTGCCATCTTCTCTTATCCCTCTGCCATGAGAACAGGATGCCCTAGCTCAGGGCTGCTGCTTTGTTTTGGATCCTGGCATAGAGAACCTGGAGCATAACCACAGCTGACCCACGATGGATGTGTAGCAAAAAGGGGAAACAGATATGTAATAAACTTAATGTGGCAAGCTGCTGAGATTTGGGGATTGTTTGTTACAACAGCATAGCTTAGCCTCAGCTGACTGATATACTAAAGTACTAAAATATGTTTTAAAATGACTAAAAAACTAAATAAAACCATTTAAAAAGGTCTTGGCTAGTGCCCAAACCTGGCTCTGTAGGTCTTGGCAGGACGTGGCTGGGGACAGTGGCTCTATGCGCTTGCTGGCACCAGTACAGGATGGTGCAGATTGGCCTTGCAGAAAACACACCAAGTTCCCCAGTTATCTGCATCAGTGGTGCTCGGGGGTAGAAAAAAGCAGTAAAAAACCCACGTAGCTTTAAGCAGCAAGATGCTCACAATATGAAAGGAACTTAGAAATGAAGGTTGACTGGAGGGAGAACAGATCCCCGCACCTGTAGGGTCTGGGCACCCCAGGACACATGCTCTTTGAGGGGAAGAACCGGCCCAGGCCTCCCCAGGATCTACACAGGGCTAGTGTGACTGTCCCTCTGTCTCTGTCTCTCTCTCCTGTCTCTGTCTGCCTCTCTCTTCACGGCCCCATCCCTCTTCCATTTTCCATTTTTCTCTCCCCTTCTGTTAACCATTTGTGTCAACGAAATAGAGTGGACTTCATCTAACTGAAACTGTGCAAGGGGGCCGCCTGTGCAACTGAGGCTCCTGGTCCTGCTCCTCCTCCATGCACTCTGTGGTCTCAGAGCCAAAATGACTTGCTGCTCCCTTGACTAAATAGTAAATATATAGGTGATAATCTGGAGGCTGGAGTCCTCAAAGGGGACTCTGTGACCTTACGACATCCGCTGAGCCAATGAGGATCTACAGTTTCGATCTTTGGCGACACCCGGCTTTGATCCAGGTTACCCCTCTCTCCTGGCCCACCACTTCACCCTGAGCCCGCTAACCTAGGTGGCCCACATCAGCCATACCTCACCACCAGGCCCCCAGAGGACTGTTTCTTTCCTGTTTTGTTTGTTTTAATGGTAAAAACACTTATTTTCAGTCTTAGCCGGCTGGACTCAGTTTAGATGATCCCAATTTTCTTGGCAAAATCCAAGGCATCGTAGTCAGGAACAGTCGAACATGCGCCTTCTCTCTCCATCAGTCTGATCGGGGTGTTGACGTTGTCTACGTCAATGTCACAAAGCTCCTTCACCGCCTGTTTGTTCTGGTGCTGTTGGCCCTGACATCCACAACAAACACAGCGTGTTGCAGTCTCTACCTTCATGGCTGACTCTGTGGTCAGGGGGAACTTGATGACGGCACAGTGAGCAAGCGTGTTCTCCTGTTAACCACCATCAGCATCTCCAACAGCACGGATTCGTCTTAGCTGCTTTTGTTTTTAGATAAGTGCAATCACCTGGTGAGTTGTGTTGTCTGTGCACCTAGCTTCTCTCATTCAACCCTGTTTGTGACATTCATCCACATTGGAGCACACAGTGACAGATCTTCATTCTCCTTGCTGTCCAGCGCTCTGCTGTGTGAATACACCACACTTTATCCAACCTTCTGTGGATGGGCATGTCATGGGTGTTATTTTGCACTTATTTACATGGTTGATTAATATTGTTTTTCCCTCACTAGACTATAACTCCACGATGACAAGAACCTGGTCTACACTTTCTCATTACTGTAACCCAACCTTTAACACAGTGCTTGATCCATAACAGAAGAGGGAAGGAGAAAGGCAGGGAGGGAGGGAGGGAGTGGGTGTTACAAGAACGCCCAAAGATAGCACTCCACTCCCAAATCCAAGGTCTGTTTCAACAATCAAGTTAAATAATTTGCCGATTCCTGCTTACTGCATATTTCACATGAAATTAAGCCCCTAGGTTCTTATATGATTCCGGCCGCTTATTGCCAATAAAGATATTCAGATGTAATTAGTAATAATTTGCAGGTACCAGAAGTCT